GTAATATTTTATATAAAATATCTATTCATTTAATAATAAAATATAATAATAAAGAATGTTGATACAAATATTCTTCAATTTAATATATTTTGCAACATACTTATTAAAAAATTATTAATTTTGAATTTAAATTAAAGGTGAAAAAACTTAAAATTATAATTTTTAATGACTAAACCGATGAATATTGACAGGTTTGTTAAACCAAATAGTGTATTAACTATTTTTTAACAGCAAACTTATTTTATTACATTGCATTGTAACTACATGAGAGCAGATTCACCTCTTCACCTGTTACTAATTTCAATTCTAGCAAGCAGCCGTTGTTTATTTAATTATTTTAAATTACCTTTCAAAGATGTGGTAAAAAAATTATTTTTAATTAGATGGCTTTAACATCATATCAGAACCTGACCCTTATTTTTTTAAGCTCATTTGTTGATCTCTGTTCTTTGAGTTATCCAATTGAACCTGGAGAAACTAAACTATGTAAATATATATATATATATATATGAAATTAGATGGACCTGACCTGATCGATCCACCAATTCACGGCTATAATCCTCTCTATTTTAACAACCCAAACATAATCTTAAGGGGGTTTAAATTAGTTTGTTTAGATTTTTTTTTTTTTTTACAACTTTTGATAATGAGTTATACAAAGAGATAATATTTTTTTAAAATTTTTTTTATTTGACTTAAGATTTGAATATAATATTTTTAAATTTTAAGCTTTTAACCAATGAACTACTCTTTTAAAGATGTTATTTAAAATGTAATTAATAATTGATAATTGATATCTAACAATTAATAATTATTATTATTTATAACTTAAAAGATCTAATATATATTTGATTAGAAACAACAGCTAAGTTCTGTTTTTAAAATGCTAAAACAAACAATCATCTACGATAGAATGGGAGTATGCTGTGTGTGGCTGGTAAAAGCACGTCAAAGAGCTCTGTATCACTTGACTTCGTAAGCATGATGTTTAATGTTAATTAATCTTACACATCTTGAAACAATTGGAACATCACAAATTTTTCTTCTTATTTTCCTTGCTGCAATGATTCTTCTTATTTTCTTTGGTTTTTTGGTGATTGAAAGTTTTAAGATGTATAATATGACCTATTCTATAATAAAAGTTTAATTTGTTTTAGAATAATATGGGGGACAAGATTGAATAAAAATATGATTCTTTTTGGCGCTTTTGTTGTTAAAATGGGTGGACAAAATCTGTGACATTTAGATTGAGGATAGGATCAACATTTGGGTGCTTTTTTACAAGCACTTTCCTCCTACTTTCAAAAGTAACTTGTCGAGGGATTGGAAATGGTCGGATATGAGAAAGGAAAATGATGTGTGCACACCCGGATCCAACACCCGGGTGTGCACACATCATATAAAAAAAAAAA